ACAATGCTTAGCATATAGTAGAGGCTAAATAAATAGCAATTAAAAGAAAATAGTCTTCCTAGAATTATAGCAATACTTTCCTAGATTTCATTTCCATTCTGTTATTTTTCAGATGAATGTAATTTCTCCTCAAATGGGTAAGATTTAGGATTGTTCACAGTCACAAATGAGAGAAGAAAATAAGAGAGATTTTCATTTATAAGACTGCCTTTCTCTTATCTATGGGTCTTGCCTCCCAGATTGTCTGTCTGTCTCCGGAAAGCAAAGTCAATAAAAATGATTAGAGCTGGCATCTCACAAATGTACACCCTTAAACCATGAAGCAGTAATGCTGTGCAGGAAATATTTTTCTGACCTTTTCAAATTGCATCCAACTGTCTCGGGAATTTCTCAGTGACTAGAGGTAATAAGGTTCAATCCGTTTTACTGGCTGGCTTCAAATTTAGTTCCTCCAAATCTCTAACTTATCTATTCTTTGCATCTTGGTTCTGGCATCCATTCAGCACAGAAATCCATGCATCTAATCTTTTTTCCCCTTCTCAGGTTTTGCTAAAGGATCACACTGTGGAATCTACAACCATGACAACTCTCCACTTCTTGCCCCTTCAAAAACAAAATATTAGCATGGGAAGGTTAGTGGGTATGTTGTCCTTCTTAAATTTAATTAGCTTGTAGATTTCATTTCCATCTTCCATCTCAGTTTTTACTTATGTGATTTATGCCTCATTAATCTTCATTATCTAGAACTTTTTCAACTTAACTATACCACAAGCAGTCACTAGAATATTAAAGAGGCAAAAATACATGAATTTCTTTTGTGCTAAATTGATTTGGGTTTTTCTTCTGCGAGTCCAAGAGCAATGGACACACTCTCCCTGTGAGGATGGGAGTCATCCAAGTGTGACGTGCTAAAAGGCAGCTGGGCGGCCCCGTGGAGTCATCCAAGTGTGACGTGCTAAAAGGCAGCTGGGCCGCCGGTTCTGCACAGTGTTCCCTGAAGGAGAACAGAAAACAGAAGCTGGGGATACATTTCTTGACCTCACAAAAGTGTTGGATGTCAGGAAGCCTTGACAAGGAGTTAAAAGCTTGTCTTGCTTTTCATATTTAGAGCATCTCCGTGCTGAATGTGATTCAGGGGAGATAGCAATGTTTTCTCATTTGTAGGACAGACCAGATGCAACACAGACTCTGTTTTGTTGCTCCCATCCATCGCCTTTGTACCGCCTTCTGCAGCGGTGATTAGAATCTTGGCTGGAAGTTCCTGTGGTCAGTGGAGCTTGGAGCCTCTTTCTGGAGCCTCTCTGTTCATGGGCAAACAGCCACCAGAAGGAGGAAATCTTTTTGATGTTGCCCTTCTAAGAATGTGTATTTGCTTGTCCAATAACTGTCAAGCTTGATCATCATAAGATATTTGGCTTTATAAAAATGAGATCATTTCAAACAACCCTGTTCAAAAAATAGGTTTAGAGGGAAGAGGATGAAGAGCAGACTTTTTTTTATTCACAGTGATGGATTTTTTTTTTCTTAAAAGAAACTGAGTATACTTATGCCAAAGTTTGTCTTCATAATATAGCTTATCTTTTCCATTTTAAAAAACAAAAACAGGGGGCCAGCCCAGTGGTGTAGTGGTTAAGTTCACGTACTCTACTTCGGCGGCCTGGGGTTCGCAGGTTTGGATGCCTGGTGTGGACTTATGCACTGCTTATCAAGCCATGCTGTGGCAGGCGTCCCACATATAAAGTAGAGGAAGATGGGCACGGTTGTTAGCCCAGGGCCAATCTTCCTCAGCAAAATGAGGAGGATTGGCAACAGATGTTAGCTGAGGGCTAATCTTCCTCACCAAAAAAAAAAAAAAAAAAAAAAAATATAATGGTGTTGATGAAAGTTAAATGGAAACATACAAAGTATGTTTAAGATGAGTGTCTTTGAAGTTGCTATTTTGTCATTTGAAATTCATTTTGACAGTAGAGTCACAGTCCTGATGTTGTCCCTTACAACCTGGTATAGTTAGCTGGTATGTTTTTTAGTAGAGATGAGACATATTGGCAGTTTTGCATAATCAAATTTGCCCAATATTTGCAATGCAGCATAGTGTTTTTATCACTAGCTGGAGAAGAGTGAAAACTTTCAGGTGAGGTAGTCCAAGCAGGTCTGTTCCTTGAATGGAGCTGCAGTACACTGGATAGGTTGTTAATGCAAGTGTGTGTGTGTCTGCATGCATGTGTGCAACTATGTGTGATGTGTGCATGCTAACTTGAATTCGAGATTGGAAGGCCACAACTCCAAAACCCAATGCATTCTAGTTTCTCCCTGGGGACGTCATCTCTTAGTAAATTGGAAACTTGGCTATACCTATGAACCCTTTCAGAACAGAAAGTGGCTTAGCCAACTGACTTTGATTATTAAACATTTAGTGCCTCCTCTTTTCCATTTCTAAGGTATATCATCTTTCCTGCCCTTCAGGACCTAAAGGTAAAAGAAAATCAGTGTTCAGCCCTTCCATTGCAAGTGTAAAGTGATTTGAATCTGGTGGAAGAAAGGAATGAGGCAGTGCCGGGGTCCATTTGCAATGAGTTATTTTGTTTTGCTGGATGTTCTTAGAGTTTAGGGATGTTTGGGGAACTTAGGAACTTCCAGGTGGAGAGGTGCAAGAGGAATGAGAAGCCCAGTTAGCAGTGCCATGAATACTAATACTTGCTCCTTATTGAATAACTGCTGTTTACCGGGTGTATCACAGATAACTCATATAACCTGACTTAATCTTCATAGGATCCTGATAAGATACAACTATCCTCAATTTACAAGGAAAAAAAGTGAGGCTTAGAATGGTTAAAACTGAGTTTGCTTGTAAGTGGCAGGGGCAATGTGTGAAGAGAATTATTTTTACAAGGAAAGGAAGAAAATAATTCATTTGTTGTAGTCAATGACTTTTTGACATTTCCTCCTTCTCTTTCTCCTCCTCCCCCATCACCTCCTCTTCCTTCCTTCTTCTTCCTTTGCCTCTCCTTTTTCTTTTCTCAAAGAGAGAATGAAATGATGCCAGATTGTTAAAGCATTGTCCCACTGCGTCGTCTTCAACAAGACAGCCATTCTTCTCTCCATCATCATAGAGCTACTGTCAGTAGAGCTACTTATTTAATTATTTTGAAAGTTTAATAAGGGCCAAGAGTTCTGGCTAGTGGCCTATATTATCATCACATAAGATAATTTTTATAACCTTCAAATAATAATACAGGCAGCAGAAGATGGTGATTATATGCTGCCCTCACAAGCTCACATTCAACCTTGCCCAGTCTATCTTTTGCCTCTGTTAATGATTTCCAGGGTGAAAGAATGGATTGAGGGAGGCAGATGTTCAAAGATATTTTTGTGGGTAACCCAGTAAAACCTATTTCCATAAATATAATGTTTCTAAATCAAGATATCTAGGAAACTAAATTCCTTCAAATAAACAACTAAGATCTTTTATCTGCATCTATTTACCTCACGTGTCAGTATTACAAAAATAAACATTCTTGATTGCTAAGGCAGGCTTGTTATTGTGGCCTTGGCTCAATTGAGATATCGATGCATAAAGATTCAATTTCTCTCTTCTAGTGATGCTTAATCTACTTCAATTTGTTTCTCTGTGAAGGGGCTTGGTTCTTTATTCTGGGTAAACTGGGCTTGTTGTTTTGCCACAGCATCACTTAGTCTCTGATGCTGAGGCCAGCATCTTGACGGGGCCTCATTTCTTCCCAGGCATATCAGAAGACAGGAAATTGATTCAAATCTAAGCAGAGTGGTAGAATCTCAAAAGCTCTGTCACCAGCGTTCACTGCGAATATATGTCTTCCTAGAGTGGGTGTGCTGAAATTTTGGTCTTCAACTCACTTGTAATAAATATCCTCCTTTTAAAAATTTCAAACAGAACTACACAGGAAATGTAGCATGGCTTTAGATGGAAATCTTTCTCAGTGAGATCTCTTGAATATGCATGTGATCCTAGCACAGAGTTCTTCCATGAAAGCCTTTATGTTTTGCACAAAGCCCCTTCGATTCCCACTGTCACCCTTACTGGAAATAAACTCAAAATAATATAAACAGGAAGAAATTGTTTGAAACTATCTGCCCCACACAGTTCGTCTCTACACTTTGCTTTCCATTACTGCTGAAGGAAGGGAAATGACAGCATTGGCTTTAAATCTGTAGATTGAGTGGTGGGCACCTGCCTGGGCTTCTGGGATATACTGGTAATCTCCACTTATTGTCGGGTGCAGCAGTATTTATTTTCCCTTAATTGGAACCCCATTGATACCCTATGGGATTTCCTCCCCTTGGCAAGGCAGTATCTCCATATCGACATAGAGCGTAGCCACCGTGCTCTATTGTCATATTATAGTCAGAAATATCCACACTGGGATCAAAATTAAACCAACACCTAGGCTAATGGAGTTTCTAGACTGCCTTTTGATATTATTAGGAACTCACCATTTTTCTCACTGTTTATCTTTGAAGTTAAAGCAATGTCAGCAGAAATTGAATTGAATACGCTTTATCAGAATGTTTCCTCTTCTGTTTCAATTCTTCATCGCGTTGCTTTGAGAAGTGAGGGGGACTGATAAAGGTACCGACTATTACACATAATGAACACAAGAGTTTGGGCACTCTCTATAGAAATGTTACTTTTATTCTATCTTCTTCCTTTTTAGGTGAATAAATATAATAAGATCAACTGTATGAACATGCCTGGAAAGCCTTAATTTTATTAGAATTCAGTTAATTAAAATGAAATTAACAAGTAAATGCCTTTTATCTTAACTTTCAGTGTCAAAACAGGATTCATTACCTTGGACATCAGAGGGCCACTTCGTTGTCTTTATTTATGATGACAGCATTTGCATTTGCTTCTCCCTTGTGCTATTTTTATTTTTGTCATTGGAGTTCATGAAGACTTAATCATCAGCCTTCTAATTTTCCAGAAAAAAAGTGTTGATTTATGGGACTGGCTGCAGAAAAAGAAGAAGAAGAAGAAGATCAATCTGACATTGTAGGTTAATAGTAGGGAACAAAACACATTCATAATTAGAAGAGAAAAGGACTTTCCTTGTTCATTCCAGTTTATAATAAAAAGCCCCTCGCCAAAGTGTCTTAGAAAATAATGCATTCAGACTGAGTCGAATTACCGCCTAGCAGATTCTATTTATCTGGAGCTTAAAAGGCAGCTGTGTTTTTGTAAAAAGCAATGAATGTGGCAGTCCTACTTAAAGGTAGAAGAAAAAGAACACCCCTTGTTTTGTAATAAGGGGATTTTCAATTTAAAAGAGAGAGCGAGCCTGTTGTGTGAAGTACGGTTATTACATTCACTGTATTCTATCTCACCCACCAGGAGGCTAATAATGAAGGGGCCAGGGAAGGAGGCCAGTGCTACGAGGGTTATCTCCCAGCCTCAGATGCTGGATAAGTCGAAGGAGGCAGACTTGCTTTTGGATGACATTCAGAAAGGCCGGAGTGATTATTTGGAAGAGAAAAGCCTGCCCTATTCTTTTCCAAGGTAAACAGTTCATTTCATCTGTCAGCTGCATGTTTCAGTATAAAAATATGTTTATATAAAGATATCTGTAAAGTTTGCCTTTAAAAAAATCATTTTAGGTGCGTGATTATTCCCCTGGCCCGCCCGTCCACTGATGAATTATTAGCGACCTGCCTTAGACAAAGGATGTACTGGGAGCCCCACCACACCTAAAGCACGCTTTGAAGGATCTGCCAAGCTCACTTTTAATCATGAGAAAGAAATTACCCACATGGAGTCAGCAGAAAATGAGAAAGTAGAGCTCGTGCTGCGAATAATTCCAGCAAGTGCCAAGGGGCTAGTTGAGGAATGGCTTCATGAGGTGAATATCTTTAGCTTGTACTTAGGGTTCGGTTAGCGTATAATCATTTTCTCTTTTAGGAGCGATGACTATCTAAGTGTCTTTCCTAACTAAAGAATGCTCAGGGCATTTGTCAGGATGTTGACAGATTTAATATCAGTGTCATCCTTGTTGTTATTTACTATGACTAATTTTACATTTGCAAATATGCAAAAATTAATTTAGGTGGAAAGGCTCTCTGAGCCAATGACTGTTGTTAATAGCTGTATGTATTTGTGTGTATTGATGTGAGTGCATGTCTGGTAATTTCTGTCTCTGTGTACGTATGTACCCTTGTTCTTGTCTTCTTTCTGTTGTGCACGTAGGTGGGGAGCATTGGCCAACCAATGGGTTCTCAGATGTGGTTTGAGGCTTTCATTTGATTTTTGGACCAGGAAAAAAAGAATGTGTCACATCATGATTAATGGTCAATCTGAATTTTCAATTCATATGAAAGGAGAAGGGGGAGGAGGATATGAGCCCAGTGATGAGACTAACCTTTTCCCTTTGGGAAGAGCATGATTCAAATTAAACATCACTTTCAGTGTGAAATTAGTTTGAAGGCCTCTTTTTTTTTCCCTTCGGTGCCTGGTTTAACTCCTCGATGGCTGCTCTTTCAAAGAAGATGCCTTCCCTCCCACCTCTGTGCCTGAGTCTATTCCCAGTAGCCCATAGTTCCTCTTCCTTTGTTTTATTTTTCTAAAGATTGGGTCTGAGAAACCAAGAAAAGAATATTTTACTATCTTAAAAGCTTTATTATTAACAAGATAAGATTCTTCCTAAAATATGTTATTTCTTTGTGTCCCAAACTAATGTCTCCATTAAGTAAGTATAAATAAATAACTTTCTTTTAAGGGTAATTTTGCCCGGGAGGAGGGAGAGGGAAGGAAAGGGATTCTTCCGAAAGACCTTTTGAGTGCCCTCTACTCGATGCCAGTTTCTGCTGGCTGAGTGAGCTGCAGAGGAAGAACAGCAACCCAAAACTCCAAGTTTTCTCTCAGTTCTCTAGTTTCTCATATAACTGAGTCACAGGATTGCCATGCCAACCTGCAGCAACTTTGGCTTCAAGCAAGCATGTGCCAGGACGCTTTGAAACTACCCTTCAGTACTTACTGGTCAAAGGATGCAGGCCCCAACTTGCAGAAAGAACTCGCTGTCCATGGAAATGCTAGGCTGCTTGCCCTCGATGCCACAGTTAGACATCGTCAGGATTTGATCCGCGATTGATTCTCTTTCTGGAGTTCAGCGGTTTGTGGGGAAAGGGAACGTATCGGAAAGGCCTAGAGACAGGGTTATTCTTCCAATGTATGTTCAAAAGGAAAATGTTAAGGCTTTTTAATTCCTTTCCTAAAGGAAAGAGAGGTGTGGTGGAGGAGGCCAATCGCTGGGAGTGGGCTGTGGTGGAGGAGGTGAGCCAACTAGGGTGGGCTGTGGTGAGGAGATGAGCCAGCTGGGAGTGGAGTGAGGTAGGGGAGGTGAGCCAGCTGAGGGTTGGAGGTAGAGGTGAAGTGGGGGAGGTGGAAGGTGGAGACAGATGAGCAGCTGTGTTTATTTTAGTACATATCATTTAACCCTCACCTAAAAACAAATTGGAGAGGTTTGGGAGTGCATTAATCTGGACCCAATTAGCATGTCTTTCTCCTTCAAAAGTGCAACCTGAGATTAATGAATATAAACTAGAGTTTCAGATGCAGAGCTTAAGTCATTTGCATGTTTCATGCATAATAATTGAATTTATGTGTGCACTTCCTTTCATTTAACTATTTCCAGTCTCCTCCCTGTGATCACATAAGCTAAGATTTCATTATAGGAACCTTGACGTGAAAATAGCTTGCCTAGATCTTGCTCCTAAGGAGAAACTCAAGTTCTTGTTTCTTTTATTTGAATTTGAATAATAAAATATTTTTTAGAAAGCAAAGGGCACGGCTTAATAATCTGGGATGCTGTTTCAGGAGTTGGTAAATAGGCATTCCAAGTTTATTTTTGAAAGGCCAGAAAATCTCTGGGAACTTATGGCATTGAGTTTTCAGTGGTCCCAGAGAACTGGGTTTCAGTATGGCCACTTTTAAGTGTATTAATAATTCCCAGAGCAATGTCGCTTTAATGCAGCATAAAGAATGTTCTTGGGCTCTGGACCTGAGTATTTACATCACTGAGGGATGTAGTGCACAGTACTCGTTCTGGCATAGTTGCTTCCATAGATGGGGTGGGAGATGGTCTCAGCTCCCATGAAGGTCTGTAGATGAGCAGTTAGTTAGCACTTGTGGTCCCTCAGCATGCTGTAGATTTTTTCTTTCTTTTTTTTCTTTCGTTTTTGTTATTCAGTTGTAGAAGGCTTAATGTTGGTTTAGTGCAAGCAGGTGCAAAGGTCCCCCCTCCCCACCTGCTCCAAAATGAAAAGTCTAAAAGCTGGCAGTGGGCATGTAAGAAAGCTTCCTGGGGAAGAGGTTGAAGCAAGGGCTTGCAATAATTCCCTTGGTTTCAGTTTATATCAGTGATTTGTCTGTCTTCTGTCTTTCCTCATGTGTTTCCAAGTCCGACGTCAAAGTGATGAGCTTTTTTCCAGGAATTCTCCCCAGTGTCGTTTGTTTTTGGTGAATTCAATGGTTGAGTGTTGTTGAGTGTCTCCTGGTCTTGTTTCCTGCTCCTTGCAGCTAAGAATGTCATTGAAGGATAAAATCTTGTTAATTTGTGATGTCACAATATAAGTGTGCTTCCTGTCACTTATGTGTAGTTGAAAATGTTCCTTAATGTAGCATGAAATGATTGGTTAGCTTTGAAATGGTTGTGAAGTCATGTGAAGAAAATAAGTTTTGCATCCGACCAAGATAAATTCACTCTAGTGCTTTATGGCTTTTTATTCCTATGTGATAGTAATAAAGTCTCATGTAGGGATGGAAGCCATGAAATACATTGTGAAAAATCATCAACTAAGAAGGGGCCATCAGTATAGAAAACATTAGGCTGTGGAGCTGTGAACCTGATGGAGAAATGATTTAGTGTATAGCTTTGCTACATGCTTGGTGTTTCCTTGAGTTTCTTTATCCTTAGATTTTGACAGCTGAGGAATCTAGGTTACAAGAGTTGATTCATCTTTGTAATTCATTAATTTACATGCACATTCGGGTTTGCACATTTCTGTTTATCATACATTTTTCTCCGTTTTCTATTAACGAACGTGCTCTAGGGGAACTGTTAGTAGCCCACCTGTCTGGTGGGCAGCATTCAATCCTCCTATGCCTTCTTTTTCCTGTTGTGGTCTTTCTTCTGAAGCAAAGATGAAATAGTCAAATTAGATTTGCCCTCTTGGAAATGTGGTCCAGATTGCTCTACTCCCAAGCTCTAAAAAAGGTGTATGTTGGGTGGGCCAGATCAATACCTCCTCAGATCCGTAAGTCCACTAAGAGTTGTTCTCCACTTCCGGGTGTAGTGTGGTAGGGGAACGCCTGGTGTTAGAGGAAAGAAGGAGGGCTTTGGAAGGAAGTTGGATTCTAATCTCTCTGCAACTTCAACTATTTGACTTGGGGCAAGTCGTTTAAACTCTGTAAGGCTCTTTATTTTTAAAGTGGGGAGAAGTAGTACACCTTGCCGGGATGCTGTAAGGATTACATGAATGAAGTAATATATACGGTGCCTGTATTTAGCATGTTTTTAAAAAAGCTCGTGAAATATTAGTTTTTCTTTCTCTCTCTCTTCCCTCTCCCATTCCCTTCTCTCCCTCTCTCATGCTCTCCCTTCCTTTCAGATGTTAGTCTAAAAAACAGCACTTTTGAGAGAGAAAAGACTTGTTTAAGAATATCTAGTTGCCTCCTTTCCATATGTGGCTTAAATGCCTAGGTTGGATCAATAGTTTAATTTTTTTTACTTGAACTGTTTTCCTGTTGATGATTGACCTATACTCACTTTTACTGTTTTCTGTATATTATGTTTGCTTGAACTCTTAATATTGACTGTTGACCTATACTCATTTTTACTGGTTTTCTGTATTTTTTTCAATGAGAATTCTAATAAAAATTACTTTTGTTATCTTTTGCCTCTCCATTTCCTCCACACAATGGGATTTTAGCCTGTGCTCTGACAATGTCTGGGCTGCCCTGGGAAGATAAACGAGGCCTTTTCCTTAGAAATCGCCCACCATAGTGCCACGAAAACTATAACCTCCCTGCATTTGCATATCAATGTGCTTGGGGAAATTTGTCAATTTAGTTGTAACTTTGATGCTAGTTTAACTTCTAAACATATAGAAATTATAATTTGACTTTATCACTGAAGGCTATAGAGTAATTGTGGATAAGGGAAAGGACTTTGCAAGTATGCAAATGCTGAAACTTAGAAAAATTACAGAATAACGTGTGTATTGCTATAAAAAAAAGAATATAGTGAAAATCAGTGACACCATATTTGTATCCAGTGTTATTTTATTATCACTGAATTTGTTTTTTAAACTCCACGCTTACCCCTATATGTCCAGATCCTAGTAATGTCCCTGATACTTAGTAGGTATTCAAATATTTGTGAATAAATGAATGAGAAAAGAAGGAAGATGGGGGAGAGAAATAGAGAAGTAAAAGGCCATATCACCGTAAAAAATATGTTGTATGGTTAAGGAAGCAGGCAAACACACATACACAGTTAAAGTTCTACTACTAGAATGAGGAGAGTTTAATTCTGTAGAATAGTATCTATTACGAGGCCATTCAAGATAAAATGTAGTGAGTGGCATATACAAAAGTATTATAGAGACCCAGAACAAGGAAAGTTCTTTAGAATCAGGGAAAGATCCATTTCAGGATATAGAACATCAGCCAAATTTCCATAGGCAAGAGTCAAGGATTTAAAAATTAATTTATCAAGGAATTTATGAAAAGCTCAAGTGAGTGGTTCTTGGAAATTTTTCCAACATACAAAGTATTCTACCCTGGAGAACATATTTACTTCTAAATATCTTCACAAGTACCATTAGAAGCAGATAGTAGGTTTTAATGGACACACTTACTTAGATTAATTAATTACTGCTGAGTCTCAGTGGGCTGTAATTAGCTATTACCTATGTGGGATAGGATGAGTCTAAGCTGCCAGCATGCCCATGATGTCAAGCATGGCCATGAATTTGCCCAGTTTCTCCCCTCCTTTATTCTTGTGTGGTTGTATATAAACTCCAATACTTGCTGTACCTTTGAGGCAACTTGTGCAAAAGTGGTTGCCTTCATGAAGGGCTTAGCATCTCCCACCAGCTCTGGATATTGATTCTGCCAACAGACACTGGCCTTTTCAGGGTTATTGATTGGCATCTCACAGTGTATTCCTATGTAAAGTGCATATAAATGTGTTGACCAGTGGAATAGAAAGCTGCAATAAAAAGCGATCTCATTCAGCAAGTGAATGAGTAAATCTCTGTCTCATCAATGGTCACGGCACAAGCAGGAGACACAAGCATCAGAAAAGAGTGAGAGTGTAAATATGGGGCAGAACAATCTTTCTCACTTTCTTTTCCTCCCATGTCCTCATCAGAAGTTTCAATTCATCAGAGTTTTCACCAACAACATT